TTTTTGTTGCAGTTTGGCGGGGTTGAACCTGCCACCCTCGGTATATGGGGCCAGCGCCCTATTCACTGAGCCACAGGCGCTGCCCAGAAAAAGTTATATATTTAGAATTAGCCAGCTGGACTTGGTTTAGATGATCCCAATTTTGTTGGCAACATCCAAAGCATCATAATCAGCAGCCAGTGGAACATATGCCTTCTTCTCGCCCTCAGGCCTGATCAGGTTGGCCACATCAATGTCATAGCGCTTCTTCACAGGCTGTTTGATCCGGTGCTTGTTGGCTTTGACATCCACAATGAACACAAGTGTGTTGTTGTCTTCTATCTTTTTCATGGCAGACTCAGTGGTCAGGGGGAACTTGATGATGGTCAAGCTTGTTTCTCCTGGGGGCGCTCTTCCGAGGATATCCGGGCTGCCTCTGGAGCCTCAGAGTCTTTGGCTGCTGGAAGGTGGGTGATGTACGGATCTTCTTTTTTTGTGGCTGTGGATACCTTTTAGCATTGCCTTCTTGGCCTTCAATGCCTTTGCTTTGGCTTCAGCTTTGGGAGAGGCAGAAGCTTCTTTCTTTGCTTTCGGTGCTATCTTGTGAAAAAAGCACTTTTGAGAATCTTAATTCTAATATAAGTGAATCTGTGGCCAAAGACCTAAGCAATGAGCAATGAATACAGCTAAGCTGTATCTAGGTGTCCTAGATAACTAAGGCTAAGGAGAATTTGCCTGATTCAGGAACCCTTACAATTCCTGAATCACTAAAGACATTTCTATTTAATAGATGAATAAAAAGAACAGAATAGTCCAGATTTAGACAAAGCCCTAAGAACCAGTTCCTTGGGACTATCATTCAGTGGTTCTCAACCAGGGCCAATTCTGCCTTCAAGGGTACATGTGGCAATGTCTGGAGATATTTCTGGTTATCACAGCTGGGAGAGTATTCCAGCATCCAGTGGTTAGAGGCCAGGTATGCTGCCAAACATCCTAAAATACACAGGGCCACCTCCACAACAAAGAATTACCTGGTCCCAAATGTCAAGATTTCTACTTGAATCTGATATTCGAAAAAATTTAGGCCATGAACTTTAGATGAATAGTGGTAACAGGCAGGAGAATGTTTATTTTTTAGGATGTTTAATTCTTTCAAAGAACCCTGACTGAGAATAGCTGCTGTAAACATTCTGGTCATCCAGGACAGAAGAGAGCTTCATCCAGAGTGTCTGGTGGATAATCTGGAGAATCCAGGATGTTCCAAGCTAATCCTTATCCTACCAATTGATGTTATCTTTTAAAATTAAAATATATTTAGGAAAAACTACTTACAGTAGGGTCTCCACTGAGATCAAGGCCAAGAACTATTCCCTCAGTAGAATGGAAGAATTCTTCAGCAAGTTTAACAGTCTCCTTGGCCACTGAAGGGCCACCTCTTCTGTCAATTGCCATTAAATACCTTTAACAGAAGAAAAATATAGCTGAAAAGAAACAGGATGCATATGAAGAAAACAATTCTGAGTGTGGCCAGAAAGGTATGGCAGGCTACATATAATACATCTTACTAGGAAAAGTACAGCCTTACTGAGTCTAGACAACATGACAGTTTACTTTGCCAGTAGGAATGAGACACGAATTCCTAAATAGCATCAAATATCTAATCAGCATTCAAATTTTCAACTCTCTTTCTGTTTTTCTTTTTCTTTTTTTTTTTTTTTTTTTGAGACAGAGCCTCAAGCTGTCCTCCTGGGTAGAGTGCTGAGGCATCACAGCTCACAGCAACCTCCAACTCCTGGGCTCAAGCGAGTCTTCTGCCTCAGCCTCCCAAGTAGCTGGGACCACAGGCGCCCGCCACAACGCCCAGCTATTTTTTGGTTGCAGCCATCATTGTTGTCTGGCGGGCCCGGCTGGATTCGAACCCACCACCTTGGGTGTACATGGCTGTCGCCTTAGCCACTTGAGCCACAGGCGCTGAGCCTTCTTTGTTTTTCTATTCATGTCTTTGTTGTTTGATTTGTTTCATTCAGGATCCAAATAAGGTCTACACTTTGTGTAAATTAATGTATATCTTAAGTCTCTCTCTTTTTATTTATTTATTTAGTTTTTGAAACAGAATCTCATTTTGTTTCCCTTTGTAGTGTGCCGTGGCATCATAGCTCACACTATAACCTCAAACTCTTGGGCTCAAACAATCCTCTTGCCTCAGCCTTCCGAGTATCGAGTACCTGGGACTACAAGCACCCACCATAATGCTAGGCTATTTTCTTTTCTTTTCTTTTTTTTTTTGCAGTTTTTGGCCGGGGCTGGGTTTGAACCTGCCACCTCTGGCATATGGGACTGGCACCCTACCCTTTTGAGCCACAGGGGCCACCCTCACTATTTTATTATTGTTAGAGACAGGGTCTTGCTCTTGCTCAAGGCTGGTGTTGAACTCCTGAGCTCAGACAATCCACCCACTACAGCCTCCCAGAGTGCTAGGATTACAGTTGTGAGCCACCTCACCCAACCTCTCTTTTCTTTTTTTTCTTGAGACAGGGTCTTGCTCTGTTCTCTGTTACCAAGGCTAAAGTGTAATGGCATCATCATAGTTCAAGTGTTCAAGTGATTCTCCTAAGTAATTGGGACTACAGGTGCATGTCACCCAACCCTGCTATTTTTTCTATTTTTCATAGAGACCAGGTCTTGCTATATTGTCCAGTTTGGTCTCAAACTTATGGGCACAAGCCATTCTCTCAGATCAGCCTCCCAATATGTTAGGATGATAGGGATGAGCCACCATGCTGAGTCAAGTGTATTTTATTCTATAGCTACTCCTTCCTCTCCTCCTCCCACCCCTGCCCCACCTCTTGCAATTTATTTGTTAAAGAAACCAGGTTGTCCTGCAAAGTTGCTCACAATCTAGATTTTATTGATTGTATTCCTATATTGTTAATATGTTCTCCTGTCTCTTGTATTTCCTATAAATCAATAGTTAGATCTAGTCTAGAGGCTTTATCAGATCAGATTCAATTCTTTTGGCAAGAGTAAATTGGTGGTGGTATGTTTGCAGGAGGCTTTGATCCGTTATTTCAGTGATTTTCTTTTCTTTCTTTCTTTTTTTTTTTT